TTTTTTTTTTTTTTTTGTTGAAAAATGAAATAAATTATTGAAAATCGTTAAAGGAAATCAATAAATTTCATATCGATACGTATATTATCTATATGGGGTTTAGGTAACTGAAATACACATTTTCAATTGAGGCGTTTTCGCAATACAATGTTTGTATTATTAAACAGTTATTAAAGAAATGCAAAAAAAAAAAAAAAGAATAAAGATACTTTGATAAAAAATCGGAAAAATTGAAAAAAAAACTCACGTTTCAGCAAAAAAAGAGACGAAAAGGAGTAAAGTATAGAGAGGAAGTTTTTTACGGAAAATAACAAGTTGGCGACTAAATGTAGAATGGAAAGTGTGGCGTTGTTGAACTTGGCTTTTGACACTTTCGAGAAGGGTGAGTGGAGTGGAAGGGATTCCAGCTGTCACATCCAGATATCGAAAGCGAGGGAGTAGGAAAAGAAAAATGAAAAAATACATCGAAGGAGAAAAAATAAGTGCGCCAGCAAGAAACTTACCGGTGAGTATGTTGCCGGCAACTGCGACTGCCGGGGGTGAAGGTAGACGCCTGGGGGACGTCAAGTAACTCGCGTAGCCCGCCTGTGGCCCCGCCAAGAAGCCGGGCAGGGCGTTCAGCAGACCAGACGGGTGGAGCCACGGGTCCCCCGCTAAGCTCAGCGCGCCACTGCCCACGTTCCTGTGGAAAATATATTTCGATTAAAATTTCGCTGTACTTATCGTTACATCGATGGAATTCTTTTTTTTTTTTTTTTTTCTTTATAAAAGTAATTTTTTTTTTACCGTATAAGGGCGCTGTGCTGATATTCGCGTTGAAAATCACCGAGCCCGAGTCTTGCAGCTTCCATTTTTTCTTGTCTACGCCACTTGGCCCTTCGATTTTGAAACCATACCTACAACAAATAAATTTTTATGTTATTGCGGTAATAAGAATTTATTAAATATAATAATGTATCGTTTGCTATCAATTATTTCACATTTAGTTGAAAAAAATACAAAAATTTGTTGGATTTAATTTTGGTTAGGGATATTAAATCCCAATCGTTAACTAGTTAACTTATTTTTCTGTCGTTACAGAGGCCTTGAAAAGCAAAAATTCTAAACAAATGTTGATAGCTTTGAAAGTGTAAATCCTACAAACAATCACAAAAAGTTGAGAAGAAAAAAAAACATCCTGATAAAAAGATACGTTTGAAAAAAAAAAAAATAATGGAAGAAAATGATTTGAGTGCAGCCACCTCGTGTACAATCGTCACCTTCATTAACTACGACATCCAACTATAGGCGTGTACCATCATAGCGCTACCCTTTGCGTGCACCTATAATTTCAGGTCATGAGTAAAAATTTCGTGATGCTCCGACGCACGTCATCACAGAGGAGTTGAAAAAAAAAAAAAAAAAAATTAAAGCGCGTGCACCAACTAATGCATCGTCGTTATCTTAATCTCGAACTCATCGCTACTGTTAAAATACCTCGTGTCTTTCTGTTGATGGTGTTAGCGTGTTGTTCACTTATTTGTTAATTTTTTTTTTTTTTTTTAATGCCAGACTTGCTACCGAATGACTTTCCTTTTAGTTTAATTGTAGGTTTTGAAAATGGGGTAGCCCAAGGGTTACACACGGATAGGTGATTTCCTGAGGCTGACAAGCGCTGCTGTAAAGTGCTACTCCCGTACGGCTAATCGAGTGCGAGGCTTTTTTTTTTGGTCTCGAAGTGTTAAATCATCCACCGAACGAATTTATGAAGATTATCAAAGCAAAATGAAGGAAGTTGATCGATTGCCCGATCAATTTAAAGGGTGATATAGCCGAGCTGATAAAATTAATTGATGTCTAGAAGGAAAAAAAGAAAAGGATATTACGGTACTTTGATTTTACGTGATATGATCTACACATCACCCGTCGAACAATCTCAATTCCAATTTGAGTGCCGTGTGCGCCGAAACCACTTGCAACTCTTGTTAACACACTCAAAACCTTCCAAATCGACACCCAAAGAGAATCATCGATAATCCATTAACAACGGAGCCCAAGAACAAAAAAAAATAGCCAACAACCCCTCCGGGCCTTTGAAAAAAAAAAAAAAAAAAAAGTCGAGTATCAAAATGGCGAGCAGCGCGAAAACAACCAATAGAGGGGAGCCCCTCGGTTCCCATCGCGCCTTTGCTAGCAGCCTCTCGTTGAATTATTCATAAGTAGCTAAACCTCAGGCCGATGATCCCCTCGCGCCCTCCAAACTCAAGATTACTCTCCCCCCCCTGATCTGCCAGAAACAGCAGCCATGCTCGTATACACACACACACACACACACACACAACTTGTTCCTTTCGGGTTACACAATGTACCTAAGGTCCGTTCATTTTCGATTTCCCGGCCACCAGTTGCCCTCTTACGTTCCCGACGCGCGCGATCTCGCTCTTTTCCGTAGCCGTTGCAGCCAAACAGGGTGTGGACTTGCCTCTCCCCTTGCTCCCCGGCTCTTGCGTACATTCTTCGGGCTATTCTTTCACCCGTCCGAAGCAAGTATATGTATATACGCGAGGCTCCTTTTTCTTATACGAGAGCCGGTTTTAGGGGTGTCGACCACCCTGCTCCGCCCCAGACGCTGCGCGTACCCTCTTACTCCGCTCTCTCGTCGCTTTGTACCCACGAGCACGAATATTACGCGGGGTTTGGGCTCGCCTTAACCAAAGGGACGTTCCTTCCGACACCTCTTGGGTGCTCTTTTGGCTTTGGGAGCTGTTGGACCATAATCCTCCTAATGTTGGACTGGGAGGATGACATTTTTCCCCCAAGTTTTACCATTTTTGCCGATTGCCGATGGTTTTAATCAGATGATTAAAGGATGTGCAGTTGAAAATAATTTTTCGATGAATTATTTCAATGACAAACCATCCTTTAGTTGATTGTAGGGCTAAGACCAAACAACCATGTGTCCTAGAGTGAGATCAATCGAGTCTTGGGAATTTTTTTGTCACTGTTTACCTGTTTATTGTCAACAAATGTTTGTAAAATACTAACTTATGAAACGAACAGTGTTGATTGCCCGAGGCATGATTACGAGTTATAGATTATAAGTTACAAAGGCATTGTTGTAGTTCAAAATTCATTGACCATCATTTTGATCTCTACGAAAGTGGTGGTTTTTCTTGCAGTTCATTCACCGTAAGGACCTTTATTTGATCGCCAGCACCGCGACGATCGATTTTTTTAGTCATGTGCACTTTTTCGTGATTCGCGAGGTGTTTGAGACCAGAAAAAGTATTTTGGCACAAGTAGCAACGCCGAAGACTCTTGTGCATGTGCACCTGCTCGTGCGTTTCGTAGGCCTTGAGAGTAGGGAGGACTTTTTGGCACAGGTAGCAGCGAACCGGTGTCCCGGACATGTGCACGTCTTCGTGTTTCGCGAGAAAATTGGCCCCCGGAAACTTTTTTCGGCACAAATGACAACGATAAAGGGCTTTGGATTCGCAGCTGGGATTTCGTTTGGGATGGTCCTCCATACTAATGAATGATGCACCACCCGATTTCAAGGCGATGTTGGTTTGTTGAAATTGAGCTTGTTTTATCTGTTAACGAAAATAGTACGCAATGCTCGTCATTTCTATGCGATTAATGGGTTGAAAGTTTTTTTTATTTTCATATTTACATTAAATTGAACATTTAATTACTTCAAGTTAGACAAGATCTCGCTTAAAGGGCACAACTGTTTTTTATTCAATACTTAATTTTTACAGCAGTACAATTATGCAAGAAATAATAACACAATTTTAATATCAAATTTTTTGAATTTTCAGCGAATTCGACGATGTGAATTATCAAAAATACTCACTGTGGGGTCAGTAAGCTTGAATGAAGCCCTGGCGAATACACATGGGTCAAGAATATTCAGCATAAAAGGCATGCGATTAATAGCTCCGAGTTGTAAGTTGAGGTTACGTGATTCCACCGTATGTAAACACAATATTATATTATTGATGCACGACTGTCACCACTTGACACGATGAATGACTGCAACACGAATTTACATTATAGCGCCGATTTTCCACCATAGCAGAGTTGGATCATATTTAAAATCTAATCATAGTTCATACGATTATTACATTCGTGTAAAAAAAAAAAACTCGATAAAAATTACAAAAAAATTTTTTTATTTCCCCATTGAATGATGTAACATACATACATTTTATATCATTTATTTATTTTTTTGTACATACATGGCAAAAAAGTAAAAAAAGTTGATTTAAACCTCTGTTTCATATTTTAAACGTCTTTTTTTTCTGGATTTAAAAGTACATTTAAAACATTAGTTGGATCATGTATATAGTTAGGGTGTGGTTAAACGAAATGACGCTTGCGTGCGTGGATTGCAAAGATTTCCAACTAATAGAACTTCATCACGGTGTTGCTCTGTGGTTTGACGCATTGTATCTGGTGTTCTGCTAGCACGGACTCGTTCGAAAAGCTTAGGAGGCAGTTGAAGCACTGATTGGGCCCCAGGCCCAAGTGCACGTTTTCATGCATCTCTAGATTAGCAGGATCCTTGAATGTTTTGTTGCATACGCTGCAACTCAAGTATTCATTGAACTTTAAGTACGAAGAGTATTTTGAATAACGGTATAAATCTGTCCTAAACGACATGTCTCAGAAATATAAACGATCTTCGTTTCGATTGTTGTCACTGGCTGTACGTGTGGTGATATCGAGGCTGTTTTGAAGACGTGGATTTTTCTGTCGATAAGTATCAACTGTTAATTACTATGCTTTAGACTCTGGTAAGGCTATTTTTACTGTATTTTTAATGTTCCTTATCAAACGCATTATAGATAGAGTTACAGTTTTTTTTTTTTTTTTATTGTATACTGTTCTGCACAATGTGCTAGAAAACGGTAGTTTGATATGACGTAGATACGTGAATGATTTTGATAAAGAAACATATGAAAGTAATGAAAACACATGAAAGACATTTATTTGCTATTCAATTTTAAAAGGTGTACTCACTGTTGATTTGGCAATCTCTTTTGTTTTGCAAACACTTGTAGCACCAAATGATTGACGAATAAAATGTGCGTTTCTTAGTATCTTGACAATATAGGAAATATACTGTTTCAAGATTTACGTCTTATGTATGTGTTTTCGAATTAAATAAACACTCAAACACGGATGTACAGAGACACGTACGCGATTTATTGAAGCATACAACACCAATACGAATATCTGAACAAAATATACAAAATATAAACCATACACGATGTGTGCGGTAAAACGTTCAGTAAGCTAGTAATACGTTCACAATAGAAATAGTTCCCAATGAGCCACGTACGTTCAGCGATGCGTCAGATATTGTTAATAGGTGTATGATGTGAGCTTGTAGTTGAAGCAATTAAGTGAAATTTCTTATCAGTGATGTGTAAACTATGTTTCTAGAGATTATTCTTTCGAATGCAATGAACCTTCAGTCAAAATTACAGTTTACATTTGGATCTACAGACAATTGATGACGAACAAGCTGCACGAGACTTTACAATTTGTCTTTTTTAGTAATAAAATTAAAGAAAAAGGAGATAAATTCAAAATGAAATAAGTAAAAGTATTATCATCTGCCAACCGAGCGTACAACTCAACGTTTTTATATAAGATAGACCAATGTCATGTAAATAGGTAATATGTACGATGAGCTCATCGCAACGACAGTGGTGTAAGTTCTCGTTTAAGTTAATTGACGATTTCTAATTTTCAAACGAGTCAAACTTACCTATGACGGTACAGAGCAAAAATCAGGGAATAATTATCAATTTTGTGGTGAGAAGATGAAATGCGATAAAATAAGAAGTGAAGTTTTGATTTCTTCAACAATTCAATAACAAAGAATTCGTCGCGTATAAACGTGATT